TACTTCAAGAGACAGTAAAAGGTCAAAGGATATTCCAATAAAAGTTAATATAACTTCTTTTGGATTTCACACAAAGAAAAAGTATGGATTCATTCTTCTATTATCCCATTGGTTGATAGCACATGTAGTATGAAACACATGTTATGGTATTTTCACCTTATATTAGCGCGTGTGTCTTATTCTTTTAATCATTCAACACTGTACAGATCTTAGTCTAGACACCTCTAAATGTCTAACCCGAGTTTCTCACTTCAATAATCCTCAAACCCAACTTTTTGGAGAAACTCGCATATGGCTTACAAAACAAGTCATAATCGAAAGGTAAAATTCCTAAGTCTAACTTCTTGTCATGACCGACCTCTGCACGTAAATATAACCTTGCATTATCCAAGGTTCTATAACATCTCATCTCTTCACGATTCTTAATGTAAGAGGCGATTGCTCGTGCGAGACTTGTTCAACACACAATAAAACATCATCACATGCATACAAGATATAAGCATAAATTCAATAGTCAAATATTTATGAGCATATTATAATACTAAAGTCATTTAACAATACATAAATATGTTCATATCCTTCCAAACCTAGAGCCTTAACATGTTTCTCAAACAGGTCTCTAGATATTGCCTTTGTAAAAGGATTAACTATCATGCTTCGCATAGGAATGTATTGTAAATTTATCTCTCCACTTGTTATCATGTCTCTCACAAAGTTATACTTGATATCAATGTGTTTGGTCTTGCAGTGATACTTTGGATCTTTTGTGTATGCAATAGCCACTTGACTATCACAATATAGAGTCATGAGACCCTGAGAATTCTTTGTAATATCCAAATGCTCAAAGTGTCTCTTCAACCAAATAACTTCTTGTACTGTAGACACACAAGCCACGAACCCAGCTTCCATCGTTGAAAGGGTTGTACAAGTTTATTTCTTACTTTTTCATGATATAGCACCATCATTAAGTAAGAAAACATAATCGGATATTGATTTTCTATCATTCCGGTCACCAGCCCAATCAACATCTGTATATCCTCTCAAGTATAAATCATTTTCACTATAACATAGTGAATAATTTGTAATTCCCTTCAGGTATCTGAAAATTCTCTTCACAACTTACTAATAATCTCTTTCAGGATTGGATTGATACCTGCTAACCAGACCTACGGTATAACAAATGTCTGGCGAGTACACATCATAGCGTACATCAAGCTCCCGATAGCACTTGAATACGAAACTCGAGACATGTCTTCCTTTTCATTTTTATTCTTGGGACACATTTCAAGGCTTAAAGTTTCACCTCTTGCTATAGGAGTATCCATGGATTTGCAACTATTCATGCGAAAACGCTCCAAAATTTTCATTATATAAGTTTCTTGAGATAGACTCAATAACTTTTTGGAACGGTCTCTTTGAATCTTAACTCCAAGGATATAGTCTGCTTCGCCCATATCTTTCATGTCAAATGACTTTGAAAGACATGACTTGATAGTTTTCAAATACCTCAAATTATTTCCGGCCAATAAAATATCATCCACGTAAAGAGAAAGAATTAAAAACATCTCATTGGACTTCTTCACATAAATGCAATGGTCTTCATTGATCTGGTGACATACGAGATCACCTCATAGTAAAATTTCAAATATCATTGCTTTGAAGATTGCTTCACGCCATAAAATGATCTTTTCAATTTACAGACCTTTTTTTCTTGGCCTTTAACGATAAAACCTACAGGTTGTTCCATGTAGATTTATTCATTTAGTTCTCTATTAAGAAAAACTATCTTCACGTCCATTTGATGTAATTCCAAATCCAAACGTGCAACAATAGCCAAAAGTAAGTAAATTGAGGTAAACTTCACAACTGGTGAAAATGTTTCCTCATAATCTATTCCAGCTTCTTGAGTAAAGCCTTTTGCCACCAATCGTGCCTTGTGTATATCTATTGACCCATCCACTTTGCGTTTAACTTTGAGAACCCATTTGTTCCCAATAGCTCTACGTCCAGGCAGAAGGTCAACTAGATCTCAGACTTTGTTGGTTTTCATGGACTCTAATTCTTCTTTTATTGCTTTCATCCACTCATTTTTTCTAGGGCTCGATAAAGCCTCAGTCACAGACTTTGGATCATCCATTTCTTTGGGAGATACCTAGAAAACATAATCTTCAATTTCATAAGTACGTTTGGGTATATTTTTCCTGGCACTCTTTCGTAATTGAAATTCAGATTCGTCAGAAGGATTTTGGGATTGAGAGTTCCCACTCCCACTCGGATCAAGCATAAGATCTTGATCAATTTGATTATCAACTGTGTCAGAAGACACTTGCATACTATCTGAGTTCAACATTTCATAAAGACGCTCTCTATTCTTTACCTTGCCCTTCTTTCGAAAATCATTTTTCAGAAATATGACATCTCGTGATTCAATATCAGTAACACTTCCATCCTCTAATTTGCTAATAAACACATACCCTTTCGAGCATTCTGAATATCTTATAAAGATACATTTATTGCCTTTTGGACCTAATTTACCAAACTTGCTACAAGAATCTTTTACATATGCAACACAATCCCAAGGTCATAAATCCTTTAAGTTTGGTTTATGACCGGTCCATAGCTCATAAGGAGTGGAAGAAACTAATTTAGAAGGCACTTTGTTCAATATGTAGGTTGCAGTCAATAATGCAACTCCCCAAAAGGAAGTAGGTAAATTTGCATGCGCCATCATGGACCTTATCATGTCCAGTAGTGTTCTATTTCTCCATTCTACTGCACCATTTTGTTGAGGCGTGTGCGGAATGGTTAACTGTCTGGTGATACCTTTTTCATCACACAATTCTTCAAATTCTTTTGATAGATGTTCATGCGCTCTATCAGTTCTTAAGGTCTTAATCCTTTTGTCTAATTGATTCTCAACTTTATTCAAATATTTTTTAAAGTATTCAAGTGCTTCAGATTTATGAGAAATCAAATAGACATAACCAAAGCGTGTGAATCATCAATGAACGTAATGAAATATAAAGCACCAGACCTATCCCTCACATTCATTGGACCACAGATATCAGAATGGATTAATTGCAATGGAAAACCAGCTTTCTTAGCCTTTCCAAATGGTATACGTGTAATCTTTCGGCAAGACAGTTTTCACAAGTTGTCATTTCAATTTTAGAGAAAGAACCTAAATGTCCTTCCTTAGCCAATCTATTCATTTGATCCTACCCTATGTGACCTAATCTTGCATGCCATGTAATAACATCAACGTCATTGTTACTAGAATAACATGCCATAACACAACGGTCAACATAATAGCTATATGTAAAAGGAGTATAATCTAACACAATAAAGCCATAATAACAATGTCTAAAACCATAAAAAGTATTGTCTCGAATAATTCTAAGACCATTGCGACTAAAGTTTAAATTGAAATCTAAATCTAGAAGAACAAACAAAGAGACTAAGTTGTGTCGAATCTCTGGAACATATAAGACGTCATGCAACATCAAAGATCGGCCACCACACATGTCCATTCTGCAAGTGCCTATCCCTTTGACTTCAAGCTTTGCATTATTTCCCACATATACATGCTTTGATCCAGGTAGAATTCAACGAAACTCTATAAATGCTTCTCTATCACGACTCGCATGGTCAGTGGCCCTTAAGTCTACAATCCAAACAAGATAAGATTCGGTTAGTAAAACAATGCTAGAAACATATATAGCACTTAGAGATATGTTTTGAAATGCTACATTTTTTGGCTCAGTGCACTCAAGAGCAAAATGCCCTTGAACTTCGCAATTGTAGCACTTCATCTTGCTCTTGTCTTTCTTCTTGTAGAACCTTTTTCCTTTCTTGAAATTTGTCTTGTTTCTTTTCTTGGAGGATCCATCTTCGATCTCCTTACCCTTTCCGTCATTTTTTCAGCTTCTCTTATGCTTGAAGCTTGATCTCTTTGTACGCCTTGATTCTGCCACAAAGGTACTAAGCACAACTTTAGCAGCACCAAGCCGTTCGTCTTCAAGCTCCACATGACGGGCAACATCCGAAAAAGTTTTGATGCTATTATTATGGGTCAAATTAACCTTTAGTTGTTCCCAATTATTAGGAAGAGACCGAATCACTGCCTGAACCTGCTTCTCATTAGAGAGAACATGACCTGCACTTTTGAGTTGAGCAATCATATTTGACATCACCCTTAGATGTTGCTCGACACTGTGATCATGACACTTTTTGTATGTGTCAAACTTGATTGTCAGCTGGCGAAGGCGAGTTCACAGTTGTACCCTCATATGCCTCTCTTAAATATGCCCACATGGCTTGAGCAGTAGGATATTGCTCGCATTCGTGGATGATATCATTAGCAACTGAACTTATAATAATTCTATGTGCAGTGAAATCTTTCTTTTTCCAAATATTGTAAGTTTCCAGATCCCTCATGTGTTGGGCAGTGTTACCCTCCTCTGGGTGACTCATAGCATGGTTAATACTTTCAAGAGCATCTTGCTCTCCGAGTACATACCACATCTTACGACTCCAAATGTCGTAATTTTCACCATTCAGTTTGTCACCCTTGTTCAAGTCTGCAATGATACTTTTCAATGCCATGTTTGTTACTAGAGACAATATTACACGTTTAACTCATCAATATATATACCGCAACCAATTTATGCATGTGATTACTCACTCAAGTAAATTAATTTTAATATTAATTTTACATTTAGTATAGAATCGAAAGGTCACAATGTTTCCATTCATCATCTATATCTAAATATTTTAATTAATATTAAAATTACTTTTTAGTGTGTACTTTATTTCAAGTCTCAATCCATTACAAAAAAATATAATAAACAATGTATGTAACTGGTGAGACAAATAACATAATTTAAATTTCATTAAAAAAAAAACATAGAATAACAATTTACATGTTTGCTAGGACATCCATGTACCAATCGAATACTAACTCTTGCACATATACGCTAAAAGGTGCACTAGGCCAAACATCATGATAAATCTCAGTTAAAATTTCACCCCAAGATTCTCAAAGAGAGTTCGCTAAAATAGCTAATGCTTCCCAATCAGTAATTTCTACGTAATTTGCCAATTCAGCTATTTTTAACTGAAAAAAGTGTACACGTTCAGGAAAGAAAACATCAGGGTCCATTTTAAATTCCCTAAATTTCTTTTCTCCTTCCCTTCGTTAAGCCCTTTGATCCCTTGACTCATTTTGCCTCACCCTTTGGACATTCCTGATGACTTCAGGCTCCGAGTCTGAATCATTATAGAAATAAGTCCCGCGACGATGTATCCTTCTACGTTGTCCCCTTTCTTGACTTCGAGAACTCCCACTTGGAGTAATTCGACCTGGCCATATTTGAAATAGGACTAAGGAAACAATAAGAATGACTACAACCATTCAATATGATAACATATGTCACAATAACTCGTAGAAGAATATCAATGTAAGGGATTAGGGCTAAACAAATTTTTTATATTAAGGAGATATTAAGTTATGTTAAGGCCAATTTATATTAGTCCATGATCTACACAAAGGAAAAGTCACTAAGGAAACTTATTTAAGTTAACCATTGTTCCTTACGTAATTGAACTCCATAGCACTTCAAATAAAGTATGGCCATTTGAAAAAAGAATTGTTTATATCCAACGACACTTCTCTGACCAAACTAATTATGGTCAAAATTCTATAGGCCATATCCAAACGCCTCCAAAAAAAAATGTGAAAGCATTATTGTGTCGTGTATTATAACAAAGAGACAGTTTAGTGAATTCATGGAACCAACATATGTCTTTTAATATGCTCATGACACAGTCATCATTAAATTGATATGTAGAAACTTTCTACTACATGACATACTTTGTTTATAAAAGAATATCATTCTGACAAATCTATTTTCTATAGAACAACTATACATATCAAAAAACTATAATTCTCTTGTTTTCTTTTTTAGTCAGCAATCTCAAGAAAGTATTTAACATCAATCTTTTTGTTTTCTACAGTAAAACTTGATTAGGTTATCCAGTTTTCGGCCACAAAAAAATATTAGCGCCTACACCAAACAAAGATTATCGGTAACGAAGTATATATCATGGTGGTAGCAACTAGGGGTAAACAACGTATGATCTGATACCGTTGTAGATTAAAAATGAGGGGCGAGAACAACGAGTTGTGTATCTTATTAACGCAGCGGAAACCGTTGAACTCACCACCAAAGGAATTGCCCCAAATCAACCTTTGAATCACTAGGAAATAAAGTTAATCTTCCACCAATTAGATGTTCTAACTTGTGTGTGTTTTTTCTGCAGAAAGGATTAGTCAGAGAGAAAATTACAACGCTTAAAAAAGTTTTGTGTTTTCTCTATAACATAATTAGGCAGAGTAAATAGCGGTTAAGGAAGATAATCCATCACTCCCCTTTTGCCGTTCACTTTATTGGGAGTTTGTGATTTTATGGTAAGTTCCCTTAACCCCTCCCACTTATCTCTCCTAATCGGGTTGGATCAACCCACATGAAGCCACCCACAACCCATAATCCAACATAAACATGATGAAAACTAGCTTCATCCATCTTACTACAGCTCTGCCTAACTTTAATGTGCTACAATATATGCCAAAATATAAAAATTCATAATGGATTAACAGTTTACTCGATAAAAAAATTGAGTAATTCGCCCCCAAAAAGCTGAACCATTAATTATAAAATTTCAATCCGCTCACCATTCATTACCCTTATAATCCAATACCATCAAGACAATAAGCCATCGATTCGGTTACGGTTTCAGTTCAGTTTTGAACATTCCTATGTCTTACCAATCTCCGGAGCACTAGTTTCCTGTTCTTACATGCCTAGCGCAGACGCATCAACCACATATTTTACCCGGTAAGCACTTAATAATATAAAAATGCAATAACTGAGGTGGCATAATATGCCCAAGCTGTAAATGATGCTATGCATATGATTATAAATGCGAACTACTAAATAAATATCTCAAATATCATACGTTATTGAAGGTATCATAAAAGCATTTTTTTCATCGGATGTCCCCAAACGCATATACACATCACAAATAACATGCCTTTTAAGAAATATAAGTAATCCAAGAGTTAAAGTTTCACTTGCGTCTAAATGACAAATCTTTACTTAAGTTGAAACATCCAAGTCAACAAAGATGCCGTCCAATTCCCTTAATTTAAGCAAAATGCACCTGAATTTTAGGACGCTCTGAAGTCAAAGTCAACGGTTGACCAATTCAAAAGCTAACCCTCGGGTCAACTAAACAAATATTGAAATAAGTTTCATAAATAAGTTATGCATTAGCCAATGATTCCAAATCTATAATAAGATTCTCATTCTGATATCATTTACAGTCCAAATGTCCGATTTCCTCTTTTAGGACTTGGATCAAAAATACCCAATTTTAGCTCTTGAATCTGATGTTTTCATGGTTCAAATGTCGTAAAAATCTAGTATAATCTCAATACTAATGTAGACAATCATTACACTGAATTGTAGGTCGAATATACACCTTTTAGGATCTCTAGGTCAAGAGCATCTTGTCAAAATCCAAGAAAGTTGCTAAAATTTCATAACATAGCAAAAAGTCCCAAAATATCATATAAACCTATGAGAAATTTCAAAATATAAAATGCAACACCGTAACTCAAAAAGAGGGATTGGATTGTTATACCTGGTCTAAAACTCACGCCTCAGCTCTCCGCTACCATTGTCGGGATTTCACCGCACATATGGAACATGTATTTATTGAAAAAAATGATATTGTATAATCACTCTCAAAATAATAGCCGAAAAGTGCATAATATTTATGTATATATATATATATATATATATATATATGTATATATATATATATATATATGTATATATATATATATATGTATGTATATGTCACACCTCCTTTTTACTACCATCGGAAAGGGTATAAGAGAGTTTTTTCCAATTTAAGTGACAATCGAAACATGATTATTTTATTTAAAATTCAGAGTGGCCACTTGGAATGATTTATGGTGTCGCAAGTCACCGGTTTAATATCCCGAATCGAGGAAGTTTGACTCTTATGTATGGTCCGCGAACACAGAAATCCGGGTAAGAAATTTTGTTAACCCGGGAGAAGGTGTTAGGCATTCCCGGGTTCCGTAATTTTAGCACGGTCGCTCAACTGTTATTATTGGCCTATTTATTTGATTCTAAAACATCTTTGAAACCTATGTGCATTTTATTCTTTTTAAACCGCTTTTAATAAATTAGTGTTACATATTGCGAATCATGTCACGGGAACTGTACCCACGATTTACAACATGTTTATTTTATTAACAAGATTAAATGGGGGCCGGGTCACATAAATGTACCCCCGGATTTTTAGAAATTAAACATCACGACTACGTCACGAGAACCGTACCCGTAGCCATGACAATTATTCAATTAATGTGCCTAAAGCAAACTACGAAAGTTCAAGGCATTTTTTATACTAATTTTTGTATTTATGTGAGGGCCATACATTATGGATATTATTTGTGTATGGCCCACCTCAAATTATTTTAAAAGAAAAGGACTGCATATATTTTTTTAAGGCAAATTAAAGATGCTCCTACTTATATCTTATTTAAAAAACTAAGTATCACAACCACGTCACATGAATCGTACCCGTAGTTGTAATAATTTAATTGCGTGCCTCAAACAACTACGAGATTTATTTTAGTATCTAAGTTATAAAATATGAGGGCCATAGGCTATATGATTCAAATGTATGAATGACACACCTCAATTTCTTTCAAAGGAATCACACTTAAATTAAAGGAACTACGGATATTCAGATTTAGAACTAATCAGGGTTTAAGTATCACAACCACGTCATGAGAACCATACCCGTAATTGTGATGCTTTAGTTACGTGCCTAAAGCAAACTATGAAATTCAAGTTCAAAGGTCCAAAACAACAAATAAAAAAAAGGTTGTAACATGGACAACAACGTTCATATAGTAAAAGGTCCCAACAATTTTGCCTGTCCCTAATATATAAAATCAAGCCTATTTAACATTGTAAAGTCTATACAATCAAGTAGTGAGAAAGCAGACAAATTAAATTAAAATAAAGTAGACGTTGGGGACAGAAAAAAAACAAAGTCGAATGACAAACTTGGCTTCCAGAAAAGAAATCTGAGATTCATCAGACAACATTCAACGAAGCATCACACATTTCTCCACAAACAAACCATTGTTTCATGTTTGGAAGTATTTTAATACTAGTAGTTACAAACTCTACAGGCACCAACAAAACAAACTCCACATTTGCAGATAAGCACATCGACATTGCAGCTCCTAAGACGCCTCAGATCATGGCGCTCAAGCATGCTAATGGCTATAATTTAAACAATGTCTTTTGAACCAAAGAAACCTTTAAGGGACTCATCAGGTGTACCAACTTGGAAACATATAATTGAAAAACTTCACTTTCAAATAAAGCTAAGTACAAATCAGCTGACTTCAAATAGAGAAATAAACTACTAGGGTGTCGATATACTTAACATTGATTAATCCAAATCAAGGTGACGATAACCAAACCCCTAACAGAAAAGATATCAAATCGTACATCATAAACTCATTTCAAAGAGAGGAAGACAAACAACACTTTTTAAAAATTGCACATGAATGCACCAGGTCTGGTTGACAATTGCCAAATCAAACAACCTTAGCTAGACATGTAGACTACCCAGCTAATCAAAACCAACGCGAACCAAAAGTACGGAATTTGCACGAAAAAGAACTGGGTAGATTTGCTTCTTAAATAATGCAAAACAGAGCATATGTTAAATAGCCTAATAATTCTGACAACTGCCTAAATTTAGAAGATAAGGACATTGGAAATGCGACTAAATGCAGTAACGTACACTCGATACCTTCACAAACATGTGCGATGAACACAGAATCACATGCAAGTTGTAGGAAAACCAATTGAATTGTGTTAACCACAGATCTTATACCTTCGCGTCAACACCAAACAATTAACAAGAAATTTGTTTCCAAACTCAAATGGATAAGGGTCTGATTTATTCCATCAATGATCTTAGCAACAGAACGATCAAACACTAGAACCTTAATAGGTCATTAACATTAAAATGATGAGGACAACTTCAAACACTAAATCACTTTAAGCACACAAGATAGACTTTAGCATACCTCAAGCTATTTTACTAATGAAAAGAGGACTCCAAAATTCTTCTCATGAGAGCCTATTCAAACAGAAACTAATAACACTTCAAATGCAATGCTTCATACTCATACTGTCATGTTCAGAATCAAGTAAACCTATGATTCAACCTCCACGTTTCAACAAACAAGAGCAGCTTTACATTAACATACCAACTAACCATAACAGGGAAACTTTGCGAATATTAGGAGAACTAGTCGACCTAAAACTAACAGTAATGTGACACCCTTCAGGATTCCATACAATCACAAAGCTGAACGGAATCGTTCATTTTAAAACGATGAAATCTTGACTCAAATGATAACTCGACCACAAAATAACAGTTACAACACACAGGAAATAGAAGACGAACACTTAAACCAGCTCTTACTGACTGAACGTACTCAAGCACATTACACCAGTGAAAAGCGATTCATCAGCAAGAAACAATGTATCAAACATCACTTTCGAATATGAATCAAAACTAAATGATAATTCCAAGTTCGACTCCTACATGAAATTTAATCAAAGAAAATGCCATTCTACAAACAAACCCCATAACTTAAGAACACCTTAAAACAGAGGTACATAGGAGAAGAAATCGAACCTGAAATTGCAAACTTTCTTTATAATAATTACAGAATCAGCAAATACACCTTTTGATTCCAAAATCCTAGCAAGGTTCAGCAGCAAATCAGTAGAAACGAAATCGACGAAATTGAACCTTATAAATATTCAATAGACCTCAGTTAATTTTCATCTTTTTGGAACCCAAAATCAGATTGAACACTCTAAATATTTTTGAATTTTTTTTCAATTTTCAAAGAAGCTTTCCAAGAAGAAAATGAGAAGCCCAAAAAAAAAATCCTTAAACCTTTCCCTTCCGATTTTTTTTACCCCAAAATTCTCCCCTTTTACAAAATCGGAATCGGCCGTTTCTGAAAACGAACCTCTGATGAATGTGGGGCTTGGATTGAGTGAAATCGATCCAACGCCTCACACTCATCCAACGAACGTTCTCCAGAACCTTCCAATTGCGTGATATCATTGAAAATCGGGCGAGTGAGAGGATGGGGAATCTTTGGTGTCAGAAACCATTAGAATATTTGGTGACGTGGTGAGATGGGGGTGCGTGAGGTGAATTTGGCTCACTCGCCTGAAATTTGGCGAGTTTGGACACGGGTTTAGGCTTGTCGGAGAAGAAGAATGGTGTTCTCCGCCGTTTGGGTCTTTGGATTTAGGTTTTCTTTTGTTTTTTGTGTTATAAGTGGGATGGGTGGGTAACAGATCGTGGGCTGGAGAGGGGCAGGTAAGGCTGGGGCGGATTGATGTAAAAATCGGGCCTTAGCATTTGAGCCACAATCAACAGCCCTATTTCCTTTTCACTTCTCTCTTTTTCAATTTTCTTTCCTTATACTAATTAATTAAAACTTAAATTAAAACTCCTAAAAATAATTAATTTGGGAAAAACTAAGCTGATCAACTACTAAAATATTTTTGAAAAATAATTACTCCTAAATTAAAAGGGAAACTACAAATTTAAATTAAAAGGCTAAAAATGCAAAAGTAAGCCAATTTTCGTGATTTTTATTTTTAATAAAATGACTACCTTACTAATTAACCTAAAATATAAAATAAGTCCTAAATGCAAATGCATGATATTTTTGGTATTTTTGATTTTCAATGGAAATTAAAAATGCACAAAAATGCAAATAATTAATAAAATTTCTACAAAAAAATCTATAAAATTGCAATTAATGTGAAAAATTTATTTTCTTGAATTTATAGGAGTACTTCATATAGGGAAAAAGTCACGTGCTCACAGCTGTCCCTCTTTGCTCGGAAACACGAAGAGTTTTCGTGCGAAGATAAAGTGAGCGGATACGAGCGATTTTTGCCCGTTTGAATACTACGCGGGAAGCATTTTTGAAAGATTTGACCGCACCCTACTTTCGAGGTTGCCTACATATTCTTGGCTATAAAGGAATCAGGTCAGTGTAGTTCGGGAATTTTTGGTAGCTGGGACTACCATGAAGCTGTGATTTCACTGTTGCTGATGNTACTCCGCGGGAAGCATTTTTGAAAGATTTGACCGCACCCTACTTTCGAGGTTGCCTACATATTCTTGGCTATAAAGGAATCAGGTCAGTGTAGTTCGGAAAGTTTTGGTAGCTGGGACTACTAGGAAGTTGCGATTTCACTATCGCTGCTGCTGCTACTGCTTGCTGAACCCCTTATTACACCAAGACAAAATAAAAGAAGCTAGACTAAACTATGATTTATGAATTAAAAGAATCCTATCTATACATCTTCAAACTTGATCTTGCAATTTCTGCTGCTCCGTTGACTTGCACTCTCCCAGTGAAATTCCTTTGGTGCTGACTTGAATTGTATTCTAAGGTGCTTTCCCTTTGTTCTCCAGGCGGGCACCTGATTGTTGAACTTTGAATTATCTTCCTTTCCTTCCGAAACTCGCCTCGTTTTCCCTTTGTTTTCCATGTGGGCGCCTGATTGCTGAACTTGAATTGTATTCCTTTTCTCTGAAACTTGAATTGTTTTTCCTTTGTTCTCCAGGTGGGTGACTGATT